ACTAGACTTGGGGAGGGCATGGGAAGACCAAGCTAAGGGGGAGGAGGGGAGCAATGCCTTGATTTGGAGCAACCTTGGGGGTGACCTCTTTGGAGTTTGGCCAAGAGGAGAGAAAATTGGGGAGGGAATGGGATCGAGGTGGGACGGATCTAGCATGGTCCATTGGCTCTGCCAACCTGGAGACGGTGACGAGAAATCCCAGGAGGGTGAACAAGTCCCCTGTCGGACACTGAAGGCAGTAGCTTGGAGGAGAGGCCATGGCTCTAAGACAGGTCTTTGAATATCCAGGAGACATGTAAAGCCACAGAATGAAGTGACCTAGGAATGGTGATGCAGTAGGGGTGGGGAGATGACTCGGCAGAGCCCTGAGGGCATCTTCTGGGTGGGGACGGGGTGGGGGAGGGACACAGTGGTTTCGAGGTACGGGGGAGTCCAGGAGAGACTCAGCATTCCAAAGGACAATGTGTTTCACTTAAAGGAGGAAGACCAAGAACAACAAAGTGACCATTAGGTCCGGTCACTGGGCGTGGGTGTCAGGGCTCAGTGAGAGGTCATTTGGGGGCACCCTTGGGAGACCTTGGTCACATGTTGTCGCTGAGGGAAAGGAGACTGTAGGAGGTGGGGCTGGAAAAGGAAGAGTCCAAATGAGAGCCAAGGGATCCCTGCAGACTGGGACAAGGGGGATCAAAAAACACTCCCTGGAACGAATGCCAATTGCTGTCCAAGTGGCTCTGGCTGCCTGCTCCTGGGCCTCCTTCATGGTCTTCAGTGTGGGGGGCTCCATTGGTGTGGCTGTACTCTGAGACCAGAGGGCATGACTGAGAAAAATGGGGGTGGAGGGGCAGGAGGGCACGTGGATTCAAAGGGGGTGGCCAACCATCTGGTGGATGCTCCTTGGCTGCTCTGTCCAGCCCTTCCCCGCCATCCTACCCCTGTGGCCTTCTTCTGTTGCTTGACTCTGCTTTTGGGAGGCCCCTGTGGGTCCTGGGAAACCCCAGTGAGGAGAAGGGAAAGCGCAGGTGTCAAACATTCCTAAGAGGAGCCAGGCCTCACAACCTGGAGTTACATCCGTCCCGGGCTCTGTCCCCGGGGAAAGCAGTCAGACAGATGACTGTACTGCAGAGAGAGGCAGGGGCTCGCGGGGCCCACGCATGCATTGGGGAAACACAACAGACCCCTGACCTAGTGTGTTGACACCTCATCCATCCGCCATCCATTCACTCATGCACATTTCCAAAGGCTTCTGATCTGGTCCGCCGCCCTGGGCTGCGATGAGAAAACCGATCACTTCCTAGGGCGCAGTATGCTTCCCAGGACATGTCCAACGGAGGAGGGGCCAGGGGCAGGGTGTAAGGGGGCGCCCTGGACAGGCTGTCCATTTGCTAGGCTCAGTTAGGACCCCTCGCCTACAGAGGAGGAGAAGGAGTTGGTGACAGGAGGCTGAGGGGTTGTAGACCAGGCCCCTCACCTCCAGGCCACATTTTTGGCCTGTTCCTGCCCCTGGGGGGCTGACGCTGCATGGAAGGTCCCCCAGGGGGCGCTCCGTCTAATAAACTCAATGAAGAGGATGGCTGTGTGGTTCCCACGTCCCCACTCAAGCCCTGCTGGGCCGGCCCTTTCCACCCCAGCCCTCCTCTCTCAGACCAGGAGTCCTGACCCCCCAGCCCTCCTCCCTCAGACCAGGAGTCCTGACC